TGGTTGTTGTTCCAAGCCATACTCCCTCTTGCGCCCCTACATTCCGATAGGTTTGCATGTGCTTCGCATACCAACTGAATGGTTGGTTGGTTGGCTGAATGACAATGACACCCTCTTTGGTCTCTAATAATGTTATGACAATTCCAGTTTTGTCTTCCTCCGCTCTTCACCTAAATGTTAACATCGTCTTGACAATGTGATTGTCATCATCATCATCGTCGTCGTCATTTTCTTCTCGCATTGATTCCAGCCAGTGAAAGCACAATTGTCGGATTTTTGCTTTCTTCGTTCGACATTCCATTCCTTCGTCCATGCCATTCATTCGTGATGGCATTAATATGATATAAGCTACACAAATTTAGTAATTTTCTTCAAGTCTCCAACTAAGACGATGACAATTTACTAAGAAATGTAAATGTTTACTTAACTGCCACCACTTGCCCCCTGCCCCGCCATGCTACCTTGGAAGATAAAACTCTGTATCAGGTTAATTGTTCGCTTTGTGAGTACAATTTTGTTAATTGGATAATTGGCTTTTCGGAGGATTGGCTTGTAAGAGGTTCTTTTAATTTTACTACATAATTACAAACACATACATAGTTTTTGTGAGACTCGAGGCTCTTCTAATTGCAGACAATGTTTATTCTATGTTTGTATGTAATTTGTATTAATGTATTTTGGTCCTGCTTTTATGTCTGGAAAAGGGCTTAGAAAAATAGGGTGCAAATATCGACAGTGGCTTTTTCTATAGCCATGCATCTACAAAATCAAGGAATGTTTATACTTGGCCTCCAAATAATTTTGGTGATAGGATACGTATCCGCTGTGGGTTTTATAATTGTATAAAATGCGGACAATCTATATATACAGGGTGAGATAAAAAAATTGCAACAAAGTCAAACGACATAATTATACCCTACAACACTTTGTGTTGGGGGTATTATAAGTTTGATTGGGCCAAAAATTATGTAACACCTCGAAATATTGGTTTCCCACATAGGAAATATGGATCTTCCTATCTCGCCGAGCTGAGTCGATCTAGCTGTATATGTCCGTCCGTCCGTCCGTCCGTCCGTCCGCCTGTCCGTCTGTCCATGTTAATTTGTAATCACTCTACAGGTCGCAATTATGGTCCGATCTTCACGAAATTTAGAATGGAGGTGGGAGATGATCGCATAATATTTAGGTGTTCAAATGGACCAAAAACTGAAAAAAGTGATTTTGCAGTTGCTCTAGAGGTCGCAATTATAAACCAATAGACGCGATAGTTAGCATGACGCTAGAGCTTAGGGCTGGGCAGAAGCCTTCCAATTTTGATGGTCATCGGGTAATATTCCAAAATAGAATTGGACATAAGGGACTTTTAATATATCGTAGTGTTGTTGTTGTAGGGTATCACATGGTCGGCCCCGCACGGCTATCGCCTTTGCTTACTTATTTTAATTTTTTTCTTAATTTTATTGAATGAAAACAAAAATGTGGGAAATAGCATCAAATTTTAGAATAAGTTTAGATTTGTTCGACTTGGTCACCTTTGGCACCAATTATGGCCTTCAAACTGCCAATGAAACCTTCACACGGCCCATGCCCGGCGAAGCGCTTGCTTGAGGAGATCGACACTTTGGTATATTTTAGTGCCAACCTTGCTTTTCAAAATACTCCAGACTCAATAGTCCAACGGATTGGTATCCGGAGATTTTGGTGACCATTGGGCGCTGATAATGAAGCGAGGAACCTCATTTTGTAACCATTCTTGGGTGGCATGTGGTGAGTCCTGTTGGAATGTCCAAGGTCTGCGGCCAAAATGTTTGCGTGCCCAAGGATTTAATTCACCCTCCAGAATATTTTTGCGATAATATTCGGCTTTTATTCTGATGCCACGGTCGATTAATACGAGCAGAGAGCGACCACCGGCTGTTATGGCAGCCCACACCATCACCATGGCCGGCGCTTGAGTTCTGGTGGCCAATCGAAGGTGCACATTTTCAGCTGACCTCTTTGGCAAGTAAACACGATCAGTTTGTTTGTTTACAAACTGCTGGACAGCGAATGTTTTTTCATCGGAAAAAAACCAAATTCGGAAGTTCATTACTTTCGTCCAAGCGAAGCAACTCTTCAGCTCTTTTGAATCTATTTTCTTTTTGTTGCGATGTAAGTTCTTGCACTTTTGGCTTTACCCCAAGCTCATTTTTCAATATTTGCCGAATGGAATGTTTCGATATGTTCAGCTCACGAGCCATTTTTCGGCCACTGCGAAGTGGATTTCGATCAAACCGCTGTTTTTTCCGTCCACTTCCTTGACGTTGGGCTACGCTACAAGTATGACGTATAATGAGCGATGGTACGAGACCCAAAAGATTTATTCACATTTAAATGCTGGAGTGCTCTAACAAGAGCCACTTGTGGTTTTTCAGAAGGTATGGTCCGATCTCCACTATCTTTATAACAGATCTTGTGTTGATGCAAATATTGAGATGTACCAAGTCTGAATTGAATCGAATGTTAATTTCGCGTTTTATGAGCTTCATAAATATTCAAAATTTTGACCCTTTGTGGAAGAGGTACCAGGAGGAGTAGACTGATACATTTCATCTTCACACCAGACCTTGGGTTAATGAAAATATTGTGCTGTGCGTAATTTGAAAACAAACGCACACTTGCATCACATTTTATAAGAGTTATAATTTTATAAAATGTTGACAAAATGTTGTTGTTGGGAGGTACTTGATGGTGTGGACCGATATTGTCAATTTTCACACCTGACCTAGCACTGATGCAAATATTAGGATTTGCAAATTTAGGATTATCCTTTATCTTTCCGTGCAGTAAATTATTTTCTTTGAAAATTTTGACATTTTGTGTGGGAGGTACCAGAAGGAGTGGACCGATATTGTCCATCTTCGAACTCTATCTAAGTTTGACAATAACATTACGATGTACTGAGTTTGGGTCAAAACGGATACTCCCTTCCAGAGTTATCGTGCGCATCAGCCACCTAAGCACACAGACGGATGGACATCGCTAGATCGACTCCAAACGGATTGGTCCGGATTTGGTCCAAAGAAACCTAGGGTCTAAAACCGTTTTTTATCAAATGATATATACCCACTCTAGCCATATGGCTGAGGGTATAAAAAATTATATCCCAAAAAGACCTTCTAAAAAAATACTTCTAATTCACGATTATCCTTCGGAAAAGTACATGGCTTTATCTTCAACAGACTTTAAAAATTAAGAAATTCCGTCAAAATATTGTTAAAAAATCCTTGATTACACATTTCGTATAGACCTTGCATAAACAGTGGTATTTCGAACCACTTTGCTATTTTAGTAGAGCTCCGCATAACAATTAACAATTTTAATGGGAGAATTCAACATACACGCAATAATTATAATTATAATTAACTTTAAATTATAATTATAATATAAGGTTCAAAGGACTAAATATGCCGAAGCATTTGTATCTTTTAAATTCGGACTTGTATTGTCCATTTGGTGCACAATTAATTTGAAATCGGATAAAGGTATATATGTAAGCTATATCTAAATCGGAACCGATCTCGATAAAATTTGGCAAAGATATTTCTGAGCAGTATTTGATATAATTCCCTGAATATCGTTGTTACGGAGTGCATATACGGCTGTGGGTAACAAATATAACAAATCGGATGAACAGTATATATGGGAGCTATAGCTATACCAGAACCGATCTTCACCAAATTTGACATACTAGCTTCTAGACTCAATTCGGTCGTAAGTGCCAAATTTCATAAATTTGGACAAATATTAGACGTTTGGTGCACAATTAAAAGTAAATCGGACGAAGTTATATATGGGAGTTATATCCTAATCTGAACCGATCTCGATAAAATTTAGCAAATGTATTTCTGAGCTGTATTTGATATATTTCCCCAAATATTGTTGTTACAGAGTGCATATTACGGCTGCGGAGGACAAAAATAACAAATCGGATGAACAATATGGATGGTAGCTATAGCTATATCTGAACCGATGTCGATTAAATTTGGCATACTTATTTTCAGGCCTATTTTGGTTGTATGTGCAAAATTCCACACTATTCGGGCTGATATTACACGTTTGGTGTACACGTTTGGTGGGAGCTATATCTAAAATTTTACCGATCATCTCCAATTTCAATAGGGTTCGTCCTTGGACCAAATAAATGATTTGTGTACTTTGTTTACAAACATACATGAGCACACGGACGGACAGACAGACAGACGGACGGACGGACATGCATAAATAGACTCAGAATGTGATTCTATGCAGATCATCAAAATGAACTATGGGTCTTTCTCATTTCCTTTTGCCTGTTACAAACAAATGCACAAAGACATAATACCCTGACCACCTTGTTATATAGGGTATAAAAATGTACGATTTAAATATTATATTTGTTAAAGAATTATATAATTATAATTGGCAGCCTGTCGCGACCCATAATTTAAAATAGTTCTGGTTGACACCCCTAAGTTTAAATTTGAAAACAAAATTATGGTACAACCAATATACGCCTTGTGATATCCAACTCCAACCAGTAGCGAAATTTCGATTTGTAAAGAAGGACTGTGCTTAGATTTGAAGTTTATTCCATTCTATAAAAGATATGACTATGACAAATATCTCCTCTTTTTAATGGAAAATTAAATTTAAATAAAATAAAATTTAAAGTCTTTTAAACCTCTCAGACTATTCGACATTTCCTCTTTACAAATTGCTCAGACATTTTGTCTCTTCATCTCTCTCTCTCTGGGCAAAAATCATTGCATTTCGCCACAAAAATGCCTTTTAAAACAACATGAAATCGATTTAAATTTTTCACTTCGTTACGTTTGCTACCCCGGCTTAAATATCTGCTGGAAGGAGTTTCCACTTCGCTTCACTTTGCCATCAAAGAAACCAAAGTCAACCGCAAATTCATTATTAACGTTCCACTCCTTTTTCCTTTTCCTTTCCGATCCTTCTGCTACCTTCTGTAGGAAACGGCGAACGAGCTCACCAAAGACATTTGAAGTAAAGCAGAGAAAAAACAATCTCTGAAAAGAAAGGAATAAATGCATTTATATGGGAATACAAGTGCATTTTAAACTCCACCACGACGCGATACACACACTTTGAGATATTCGCATATCCTTACACCATTGCCACCACCACCATCACCACGAATAACAAGAAAAACCAAACAAACAAACCAAGTGCATAAGACTTGTCTCATTGTTTGCAAAAAGGCAGAAGCATAACAAAAGCCCCATACACCAGTCAGCTGCAGCAGGACACAAAAAGGTTTTCCACGTAGAGGCAGGATAACAAAAACAACAAAAAAAACTATGAGTAAATCCACAGCACCACAATACACCTACATACCACCACCAACCGCACCGCCATCCTATCAGGAGGCCGTGGGTGGTGTTAAGCCTGTGGGTCCATTTACGCCCGTCCTATCCCCCGTGGTGATGGCCAGAAACGATGACATTGTTACCACAGTAGTGCCCATAGGACGTACCGCCACGCACATGATCTGCCCCTCGTGTCATGCTGAAATCGAGACAACTACACGCACCACGCCCAGCATGATGGCATATATATCCGGTTGTCTTCTGGCCTTATGCGGGTAAGTTGGAAATGAAATGAGAGCTAAACTGCCAGCTGTGGTGCACCGCTGTTGCTGCTGCTGGGAGACAGATGCAAATGAATTATGCAAGTGGAACAAAATAATCTCCTTGTTTCTTTTCTCTTCCTCTCTCTCTCCCCCTCCCCCTACACCCTTCTCGTTTTGAATTACAGATGTTTTCTGGGCTGTTGTCTGGTACCCTGTTGCATTGACGACTGCATGGAAGTGCATCACACTTGTCCCAATTGCAAATCCTACTTGGGCCGTAATAGTCGCTAAACAAAGACTTCCGAGAAAGCACACTGCCTTTGGATCGGCGAAGAATAAACAGAAAATAAAAATTTCAAATTCGAAACGACAAATAAACATACGATTTTAAGTACAACTTAACGAAACTAACTTTTAAAGTTAAGCAGCTAACAAACAGCTCAAACTACTAATGCCACGTTAATTTAAGCTAAGCTACGATGATGATGAGGATGATTTGAGAAGTTGTAAATGAAAAACGTAACAAAAAAATTTAACAGAATTCAGGCGACAATAATTCAGGGGATCTTTTTGGTCCCTTGAAAAAAAAACATACATATTTTTCGAATAAGCTATTTATGTTATGGCCCGAATATTGTTTAACAATAAGTTTCTCTAAGAATTTTTTATAAAACTTATTATATTTTTAAATAAATGTTTTTAAAAAGAAAATCATTTTTCTACTGTAAATTTTATTTTCAGAACGAATGTAAAAAAATCGACTAATAACAAAATTAGCTCTAAGCTAAATTGATGTACATTTTAATATCCTCCAACATGAAATTGAGGTCATATCAGGATATTTGGTCATAGGTAGGATGTTTGGAATTGAAAATGGAATGTATCGGTCCACGTTTAGGTATAGCGCCCACATAACGGTAATTTCTGTTATTTGTTAGGTATCAGCTCAAATTTGCTGATTCGAGTTCTTAGTGAGTTTAAAAAATGTTCTGCATAGGTCCATTTTTAAGACACCATATCCAAGGCTTTGGACCCCAGTTGAAACCAAATCAGCCGTCAGACAGTCAATCAGTTTAACTCCTCTCACGGAACTTCAAAATCGCAGCGACCGTGAAGATAATCGATTTGGCCATAAGTCACAGTTTTTACATGCTGGGAGGTACAAAAGTTCGGTCCAATCGAACTTAACGCTTTTTTTTACTTGCTATACCCTTAGCCATATGGCTATATCATTTGATACGGCCAAAACTTACCTCATCGAAATAACAGTTTTAGACTCTATGTCCCTTTGGACCAAATCCGTTTTAGGGCATTTGGAGTCGATCTATCGATGCCCGTCCGTCCGTCCGTCTGTCTGGCTGGCTGGTGGGCACGGTAGCTCTCCAAGGAAGTATCCGATTTGATTCAAACTCAACGTCATATTATTATCAAACTTATATCGAGTTTTTTATCGACCAAAGGTCTGCTGTGAAGATGGAATATATCGATCTACTCCTTCTGGTACCTCCCCCACAAATGGTTAAAATTTTGAATATTCATGAAATTAAATCCGATTCCATTCAGACTCTACAAGATGTCTGGTAGAGATCGGACCATTCCTTCTAGTACTTCCCCCACAAAGGGTCAAAGTTTTGAATAACTAAACCGAAAATAAAATCCGAAATAAGTATCCGGTTCTCTTCATATTTCACACATCACATTATTTCTACTAACACAATAACTGCTGTGATATATCGGTCCGCATCTTCTGGTACCTCCCCCACAAAGTGTAAAAATTTTTAATATCCAATATTTCTATCAACACAAGATCTTTTATAAAGAGGGTTGAGATCGGGCTATTTCTTCTGGTAACTCCCCCACACAGGGTTCAAGACTTTGAAAAAAGTTTACTCTCTGCTCTTTTGTATTATATGGAAGCGCTCTTGTTTTACAAATAAAGTGGGAGAAAAAACACCCGAAATACAGTAAGAGTTTATTATAAAGCTATTGCAGGCCCTGTAATCTCCCGGACTTAAACATTTAACTATCTTGGAGATCGCAAACTAAAACTATTCATTTTCACAGAATCCAATAATCCTTTCTTGATCCTAAGGGACTTACAAACGGCTCTTGGGAAAACTACTAACTCTCTCAAAACACAAACTCTCTTCAAATACGAGTTCTCCAATACCAATTCTCTTTAAATCAGCACTACTCAAAATCGTTTGTTTTAAACTTGGATTTTGTTCAAAATTATTAATGAAATTGATTTTTACAAAAAAATGTACAAATTATATCTTAAACCAGGAATATTTAAAAAAAAAACAAAGAGAAATTGGACTGGTGAGCGAGGTCTTGTTTTTGAGCATCACTGTTTTAAATACAAACTCTTCAGTAAAAAGGGCTAAGTACATAAGAAGTTTGAAGTCATGGCTAGGCATATTAATGTCAAATTATAATGGAAAACGACGGCTGGATTTTAGTGCGGCTCTGTAATCCCTTTGTGAAATGTCACAAAATATGCCTAGCCATGACTTCAAGCTTCTTATGTACATAGCCCTTTACTTTCTCAAATGGACTCAAGTACCTAAAATCACGAAGGTATGACGCCAAATTTGAGATGGAATAAATCATGTTGTACCAAAACAATTTCAAATGGTTTCTATTACATACCTGAAACGTTTCCATTCTAACCCCGAAATCAACTCACCAATACTAACTCTCTTCAAATAAGAACTCTCTAATACTAATTTTCTCTCATGTAGTTCCTACAATAACGCATAACGCCAAATTTGAGAAATAATAAATTGATTCATGTCAAAACAAATTGAAATTGTCTCTATCACATGCTCGAAATTTTTACTCTCTCTCTCTCTATTTTACAAAACGTATTTACACCGCAAAGGATCATTTAAACCGTAAAAATTTATTCCGTAACAAATGCAGCACAACAACAACAACAACTTCCTGATTCCGTCACTATTCCTGTATGCCACTATTCCTGGATTTTATAACAAATAACTTACCAATTTTCCCTTAGCAACCTAAAGGTGCAATTGTGGCCTTTATCTTAAATTTCAACTTTTTTTTCGCCAGCAGCTTTTTCATTTTCTTTGAAATTGAGTGCTTGACAAACTCTTTTTTTTAACAATGAAAGATATTTAATTTCCACAACCCGCCAAATTGCTAATTCTCTTTAAAATTCAATAAAATTTTCTACGAATTCTTAAATGTACATACATACGAACAAACAAACACCTACTTACATAACAAATTGACATTTCAATTTTAGCCGATTTCCAAGAAAATGGGAAATCATTTGAAAAATCTGCACTTCATTGGTTCTCTTTGGGATTTTGCTATCATTGTTAATGCCATCAAAGCGGCACATTCAATATTTCCCTCGTTACTAACGCATTCCTCTTTTTTTCTTCTTCTTTGTCTTTTGCTTCTTCTTTTTTACAGAAACTCCTAAAGGCACACACAACAGACAAATAAAGACTTTCTGCATTTCCATTCTAGAAAATAAAAGAAAGAGTGGTGGTAAACATAATCAGGATACTTTTGCTGACATTCATCTTTATATTGTATTGAACGACACAACAACAACAAAAAGCGCACATTTAGAATCTAAGGAACGCACACAATACTTGAAAGGAAAGCTCAAAGGGGAAATCGCTATTCGCACATACCTACATAAATATCCATAAAAAAGTAACAATATGAGCAAAGCCACAGGTCCCACACCACCACAATACACTTATGTGCCACCACCATCAGCTCCACCCTCGTATCAGGAGGCTGTGGGTGGTGTTAAGCCCGTGGGCCCCTTCACACCCGTGGTACCGCCCGTGGCAACAGCCACAAATGCCACCATTGTAACCACAGTTGTGCCCATTGGACGCACGGCCACACACATGATCTGTCCCTCTTGCCATGCTGAAATTGAGACAACAACACGTACTGAACCTGGAATGATAGCATATTTATCTGGCTTTGTAATTGCATTGCTGGGGTAAGTTGAAATTTATGGAAGATGATGATGTCAAGAGTAAAGTATCATTTGATTAGATACCTACATGGGTATATAAAATTTATTGGAAAATGATTCTCTGCCATACATCAGCTGGGTCCTCACTTAATATTTATTCGAAAAGGAATTTATAATGAACTACTTATTTTTCTTTTTTGCAGATGTTGGCTGGGCTGCTGTTTAATTCCTTGTTGCATTGATGACTGCATGGACGTACACCACACATGTCCCAATTGCAAAGCCTATTTGGGTCGTTATCGACGATAAACAACACGGAATGGCCATCGGAAATGCACAAAAGCATGGAAACCCAAACAGACACACACACACAATGTTCTTATATTGCAAACAAACAAATCTTTATATATAGAGAATACGCTTAGAATGTTTACGAAATCTCCGGCTTCGAAATGAAAAACTTAGTAGAAAAGAAATATTCAATGAGAGACTAATTTTATTACAAATGCGAAGAAAAATCTATGAAAATAGCTTTGTTTTTTAAAAAAGGAAACAAACGCCTAATTATTTTTATTTGGAAAATTTTCACAATCTGGAAAAGTCAATCAAATATCAGTCATATCATTTGCTCAACTTTAATCAAACCAAATGTCAAATTATTTATGTACTTGTTCCCTTCTTGCTTTTGTTGTATGACGACTTGATGCTATGAATTCTTTTAATTTGTAATCTCAAAATTGAATTGTATATTCTGCTCCCAAAAAATAATTATTTTATTAAGTCGTGTTCAAATGAAAATTATAAAAAAAAATATGTTAACACAAAAAATATAACAATAAAATATGCGTATATTGCCTAATACAAATGCAACCAACTCTTTACAAAAATAACAAGAAAACAAAACACCCCAATTTTACCTACCTATGAATGCATGTAATCTCTTTTTAAATGATAAATAATATTATTATGATTAAATACCAACTTTATACTAGGTATTACAGAGAAGTAATATATAAAAACCAGAATACATTGATTTTTTTTCTTAAGGAAGATATGTAAACTTTTTATGTACAATAAATGTAATAATAAAACATTAAATTATTATGGTTTTTATGTCAAAGCTTCTTTATGTCAAAGCTTCTTTATGTCAAAGCTTTCTTAAAGACACCGATGTCTTAATCTTTGCCCATCGCCAATTATTATGGGTTGATCTCGACTTAAATAAGGGTTTTCAAGCAAATCTGTCATCTTTGATAGGCATTTTGTACAATTTTTAATGGCTTAAATTAAAAGGACCAGGTCCTTTTTTTATTTTCTCCTCAAGACATTTTGTATTCTTCTAACAATTAATTAAAAAAAACTTCTACTTTAGCTCCAAATGAAACTCCTATTTTATCACGTACAGGTTCCACAATACCCATATCAAGTGGCCTTTTTTGTTCCTCAAGGGATTGTAATATTTTTCTAACATATAATTTAAATAAGCTTATATTTCAGTTCCAAATGAAAATCATATTTTATCTCGTACAGGTTCCACAATACCCATACCAAGTAAGGTTTCTGCAGCTTCTACCTCATATGGTATATTTATTTTATTAACATTGTTACTTTTATACACTTCACCACATTAAATTTTTATTATTTTACACCTCATTAGATTCAACAAAATATACAAATCACTCATTTACCTAAAAGATGGCATAACTCAAAAAATGCGTTTAATTTTGTGTTAGCAACTCCTTTTTTATATTTTTGTCAATTTTTTATTGATATCAGGAAGGGTATGTATCATTTAATACGTCCAAAAACGTACCTCCTTCAAAGTAACAGTTTTATACAATAGGTCTTTTGGGCGAAATCCATTTCAGGACATTTGGAGTAGATCAAGAGTTGTCCATCCGTTTGTCTGTCTGGCTGGTGCGCACAAAAAATATAGTAATACTATTATCAAACCTAGATTGAGTTCCGAGATGGTCAACTTATCTTTTTACTTTTTTACTTCTTAGAAAACAAAATTGATTCAATTGAGTACAATGTTTTTAAAACCAAATATTTGTATTAGTGCTATGTCAGATGTGAATATTGACTATATAGGCCCTCTTCCATCCGAAAAGGGTTAAAAATCTGAATGATGTGAAAAAAATAGTTAAATATCCACCAACATAAGTTCTGGTATGAAGATAGGATAGTACATACCACTTCCTCTGGTACCCCCCAAAATGGGCCAATATTTTGACGCTCATAAAAATCGAAGTGAGAATCGGATTCATTTCAAATTTGTCAAAACCTAATAATTCCACCAACAAAACACTAAGTGAAGAAATGGTATAAAGGGTGAGATGAAAAAAACTGTAGCCAGCTCAGGACTTCTGGCATTTCTAAGCCACTCGTCCGATAGCTTTTAAAATTATCCCTCTGACAGCTCATTATATTGTTTACAAGCGTACAAAAGCATTTTGGTGAGAATTTTCGAGAAAAAAACGTTATTCGTGATGGAATACAAGCGTGGTAGTGTGATTTCTTTATATTTGGCTGGAAAGACACAAGTGGCTATCGTTAGGGCACTCCAGCATTTAAAAGTGAATAAATCTTTTGTTTCTCGCACCATCGCTCGTTACCGTAATACTGGTAGCGTAGCCCAACATGAAGAAAGTGGGCGGAAGAAAACAGCAACATCAGCAAAAAAAAGTTCGAAAAGTAAAGAAGCGACTTGATCGAAACCCGCATCGCAGTGGCCGAAAAATGGTTCGTGAGCTGAACATATCGCAATATTTCATTCGGAAAATATTGAAATATGAGCTCGGGTAAAGCCTTTGAAATTCCAAAAAGTGCAACAGCTTACGCCGCAACAGAAAGAAAATAGACTCAAAAGAGCTAAAGAATAGCTTCGATGAGAAAACATTCGTTGCCCAGCAGTTTGTAAACAAACAAAATGATCGTGTTTACTTGCCAAAGAGTTCAGCTGAAAATGTGCACCTTCGGTTGGCCACCAGAACTCAAGCGTCGGCCATGGTGATCGTGTGGACCGCCGTAACAGCCGATGGTCGCTCTCCGCTCGTATTACTCAACCGTGGCATCAGAATCAATGCCGAACATTATCGCACAATGGCCACCAAAATTTCCGGATAGCAATCCGTTGAACTATGGTGTCTGGAGTATTTTGGAAAGCAAGGTTGGCACTAAAAAATACCAAAATGTCGATCACCTCAAGCAAGCGCATTGCCGAGAATGGGCCAAAATACCGCAGAGCAACATTCGGGCAGCGTGTGGCGTTTTCATTGGCCGTTTGAAGGCCATAATTCGTGCCAAAGGTGACCAATTCGAACAAATCTAAACTTATTCTAAAATTTGATGCTATTTCCGATATTTTTTGCTTTTATTCAATAAAATTAAAAAAAATGTAAAAATCATGACGTTTCTTTCTTATGGGTTTACTTAAAACACCGTGTATCTCAATATTTTTATAAATAATAGATCTAATGTAAAGCTGGGATATATCAGTCCACACTTTCTTATAACTCACATATCTCACGTAAAGTAAAGGAATTAGTCGATACCGTCCAAATTTAGTGCATCGCTATGTTTATATCATAGACAATATTAGCTCACTCCTCGCCTCCAACTAAATTTAAATCATCATAACGCTTATCAAAATATATTTTAATAAAAGGCCATAGATTGAGGCTATACATCTATCGAAAAAACCCACTGATACTTTTTAACCTGTTTACTTGGACATAAATCCACAAAACAGTATATTCAGTTTATGAAGCAAGCTAATACTTCAAACCAAGCTTGATCTTGCGCAGAAGTTCAGAACTGGTGTCTGTAGTAATTTAGCAAGTTTATTCATTTTATATATAAAAAACCTATGTGGGTAAATTTGGCATTCAAAACAAGGTATCTTGAAAAAATGAGCAGTGGGCATACCCACAGACTTTTTTATTTTTAACTACCACATCCTTTCTTATTTTAATTAAAAGGGATAGGGTTTATTTCGTTTGCGTTTTCCATAAGTTGTAATAAATATTCAAACGATTAAATATAATTGTTTTTTTCTCCGCATTTGTTACCTTTCGAATAACTGAATGTATGATACGATGAGTTCATTTTCTAAAAAAACATTAACGTTTACTGGCATTCATCTTGGCTCTCATGTTCCTTTCATTAAATTGCTTTGACACATGTTTCATAGTGGTTACACCACTTTGTGGTTACCAGTTGCAAAATACCCCTCTACGGCGTTGCCAACTATTTTATCTTTTATTTTCATATTGCCCCATATGAAAAAAGTCACAAAAATTCATCTCAATAACAGAAAAACAATATATAATGCAATTTAACAAGGAAAATATAGATATTCCTAACCCCCATAATGTTGTTTACATTGTTGGTGACCACGACAAATGCAAGTGGTAAGCTTCTTCTATGGAACATGACAAATTGTCAATATCTAGGGCTCCCTTAAATTGTTTTTTATTTGTTCGCATTTCGTCATCACATTCGTAAACAATGCACAACCAGAACAACAACAAATCTCCTTGCTTGTGTTTTTGTTTTGAATCGTCTTTTGTGTTTTCCTCTTATTTCTCTTATGTGCGGTGTTTATGTGTGTGTGTGTGTGTGTGGGCCTTTTTACCCTGAGAGGGAGAGTAAGAATCGGCATAAGAGAGAATGTGAATGAAATAAAATAAAAGTGGAAATGTATGCGTACGATAAATGAACGAAATAAAAATTAAAGATTAGAAGAATTTTTTCATTTTGACAAGTTAAAAGCCCAAATGAAGGTGTGAAACGCGAGTAAACGTCCTCTTCTAATAAAAGAAATTAATGTCACACAAAATATTCAGATTACTGTAAACTCAATGTATTAGAAACGAAAAATAATTAAATGAAAAGTGCGCAAATTACCGAAAACGAAAAAAAGAACAAATTCTGTGTCTAATAATTGGCAGCAGGCAAAGTAATTAAGTGGAATTTTTCACGCTGTTTCCCCCAAATACACAATGGTCTTACGTTCTGGCATTATTTTACCATTTCAATTTCGAGACACCAAAAAGCTTTTGATGATTGGAGTGCCTGAAGAAAATCGCGATCTAAGCATTTGGGATTTAAAGAATGTCGGTGAGTGTTGACGAAAATGAAAAACTTATTTTTTGGTCGGTTTGGTTGGCCTTCGTTCATTATTGCTAATTAATTAATAGAAAAATTCCTTTTAGCATACACATAAAACAATGTTTGCATGACCCGCCGTCGCGGCGGTTCCTCGTCTCCACTATGGTAATCTTAGAGAATTCAAGTGTGTATTCAGTGCAATTAAAATTTTGTCTTCTATGGATGAATGTTGTCTGTTTGTTCTGTGGTAGTTTTACATTTTCGTGCCGTTTGCCATCATCAAACAGGTTGCCAGACGTTGTGTTATTGTGGCCGTTAAAGATGGAAAATTTCCAAAAATGTTGTGTGAAGTAAATAGTTGACTTGGAGCTATGTAGTGCATCTTGTTGTGGAACAATACAGAAGTAATTTGGAAAGTTTACTTGTCTTGAATTATGACAAGAAGATGGATTCATTCGAAATATTCTTCGGAAGCCCCATAAAGTATATATGTAATCGTAATCGGCATAAATTTCCGATTTTGTTCAACTTTATAGGTCTGTTTACATCCAAAGGAAGGTTACACTTTTCAAGAAAATTAAAACAAAATTAGGCATAGATTGAAAATGGAAGGTTTTGGTATTAAAATTGAATATATCCGACCACTTTTAGGTTTATGCCTATTAAAAGGTACCACCAGTTAATCGGTATTTTGAAGGTATTGTGTTATATTCCCATACAAATATTTCTCAGTGGATATTTAAATTCCTCCCAGAAAATATTCTACGTTTGACTAATTTTTGGTATAGTCCCCTTATTAGGGTATCTCCTGACTTTCGCTCTGTCGAAGGTTTTAGACTTAATTTCTGACCAAATCTACTTTAATTTGACATTTCGGGCTTTCAGTGGTCAGCTTAACTTCTGTTCTACATAGATCCACTTTCTGCTGTAACCACTCAATACACCGATATCTCCTGATTTCGGTATTTCGATGGGTTTGGTACAAGTTTTTGACCGTATCAAAACATCATAAACTATGGGTAGTGCAACTGGTTTTAAAAAAATTAATTTAGGGCCATTTTTTGCCATACTATCCATATATGAAGTCTTCCTGATATTCGAGGTTTTGATATTTTGGGCTCAAATTTTTAGCCAGAACAGCTGTAATTGCATATTTCAGTTTCTATGGTGAAAGATATAAACATATAAAGATATAGCCCCACATATCGGAACTTCCAAATTTAAAGGATTTTAAGTATAGCTGATTTCAAATCATGTATCTAAGTCCAACCCAACAAAATGTCGTTTTTATTTGTTTTGTTATCTAGAAAATGTCCACTAAAAATTCTCTAGGTTCTTAAATTCTAAGTTTTTATGAAATAATGCCCGCCTAACACATGGAAAGAAAACATAAATATGGCATCCTAAATACTATTTTAATTACTATACGCAAATTGTTTATTCGCGTTTAGCCCGCAACGTTGTTTTGTTTTCATTCGTTGAGCAGCGAGATAGCTTGCCATTCATTTGGTTCGTCTGTGTTTGCGTTCTATAGCAAAAGAGAATATGCTTCTATTTTTAACTTTTTATTATTATGCTTCTATATTAATTACTTGTAGAGCGCTTTCTGCTATATTGCGCGCCATCAACAACAATAATAATAACACAATCCACCACCATGCCACATAATGTTAACGAATGATAATGGATTTTAATCTAGAAAAACGTTTTCTAATGCTTATTATGTACTTTTTATTTACAGTTCGAGCTGCTTTTGGAATTTACAATTTTGAATTTCGCAATAAAAAAATTGGTTTCAACATACCCGATGAGCTGTTATTGCAATACTTAGCCCAACGTCATGACTTGACCAACTTCGTTATAGAAATTGGCCAGGGTAAGTTTTTTTATGATAACTAGTTTATTTGTTCTCATTAACCATTCAGTTGTTATGAAAGTATTATGTCTTCGTTAAGACTTGTATTACATATTAAGAAGGGAATCAACATGTTAACCTTTTTTAAAACACATAAATATAATGACTTTTTAAATTATTTTTTACAGATCCAATTGTCAAATTTGTCTCCCATAGAGTTTACTTAAATGAAATTCATATATCAAGCCAAAAGCACAAATCTTTCCCAAGGATTAAACTAATCCATATAAAAAATGTTCATTGGATTTAATTAATATATCGACATTTCGCATGAATATGCTTGATGATATAACGTTTTTCCAAAAGGTTATAAAGCTTTTCCAAAAAGGTTTAGTACCATAAATCGAATATCATCTAAACGATCTAGACTAGAGTAAACCTTATTGCTGAGAAATTAATTTAATATCGGTTATAGAATGTACAGCCTCGAACTATTAAGTTACTCCATGTGAAAGATCTGTCGGACCCACTCGGTGCACATCTAAAGCTCCTAGTTTTATAAATCAATAACTGTCTTATATACAGCTTACCTTGAAACCGTATCATATTTATTTCCGAGGACACTTCTTACAATGAAATATCACAACCAATTGCTATCAAAAAAGGGAGATAGAATTTGACCCCTGTAATAAAGTGAACGTTACAATTATGGGCGAAATCAAGTTAAGGAATAGTTCCTGTATGACGAGAAAGCAACAATTCTAAACGTGATTTAATTATACCCTCGGTCATATGGCTTGAGAGGGTATATATCATTTGATACGTCAAAAACGTGCCTTATTGAAATAACGGTTTTAGACCCTAGGTCTCATTGAACCAAATCCGTTTCAGGACATTTGGAGTCGATCTAGCGACGTCTGTACGTCTGTATGTCTGGCGGGTGCACACGTTACCTGTCGAAACAGTCGATTTGATCCAAACATGGTACATCGTAATATTATTGTCAAACTTAGATCCGGTACGGAGATGGGCAATATCGGTCCACTCCTTCTGGTACCTCCCCCACAAAATGTTAACATTTTCAAAGAAAATAATTAACTGCACAAATAGAAAAAGGATAATCCGATTTTGCTCCAACTTGTAAACCATAATATTTACATCAGTGCTTGGGCAGGTGCAAAAAGAGTCGAAATTTTGACTAATTCTAACTCTTATAAAATGTGATGTAAGAGTCCGATTGTCTTCAAATTACATATATTACAATATGTTTTCATTAATCCAAGGTGTGGTGTGAAAGTGGAAAATATCGGTCCACTCCTTTTAGTAGGTCCCCCACATAAGGTCAACATTTTGAATACTCATGAACCTTATAGAAAACGAAATTAACATCCGATTCCACTTGGCACATCTTAATATTTCCATCAACACAAGATCTGTAATAAAAATGGTTGAGATCGGACCATTCTTTCTGGTAACTCCCCCACAAAGGGTCTGCATTTGAATAACCAAACGTTCATAAAATCCGAAATAAACATCCGATTCTCTTCAAATTACACATATCACAATGTTTTTATTAACCCAAGGTCTGCTTTGAAGATGGGATATATCGGTCTACTACTTCTGGTACCTCTTCTGCAAAAGGTCAACATTTTGAGTATCCATGAAGATCATAAAACGCGAAGTTATGATATTTCCATCAACACAATATCTCTTATAAAGATTGTAGAGATCGCACCATTTCTTCTGGTACCTCCCCAACATAGGGTTCAAGATTTTGAAAAACAAAACGCTCAAAGAAAGCGAAATAAGTATCTAACTCTCTTCATATTTCACACATCCATATATTTTTGGTAACGCAATCTGTTGTGAAGATGATCTGCCAACCCCGTCTGGTATCTCACAATCAAAGGTTCACAATTTCCAATACTTATTTCTGTCATAACTTGCGAAACAAGGCGGTGATTCTTCACAACTCTTTATATTTAAATATTTCTCTTAAACAGAAATGAATATGTAATTTATGATTTCGCATAAAATTGGATATAAATATTCGATTTCCTTCACCACACGCATATTTCCACATTTTCCAAAAATTTGCACACATCTCATACAAAGTAGAGGAAGTTGTCGATAAAGTCCATATTTATATCAGTCTTAGGGCAGATACGATTTGGTCAATATTGATCAACTGCTTCGGAACCTCGCCCATTAAGGGTCAATAGTTTGAATAATCATAACTCAGAGCTGGGGGTATACATTTGTCGGTAAAAAACCGACTGATGCTATTTTACTTTTTTTATTTTTTTATAAAAATAAATAAGTATAAAAATCGCGTAGGATTGGTGTTTTTCTTTCGCATACATTTCCTTTTGACATGCCGAAGTAGCCCTTTATTTTTTCCTAAGAATTATTTTTAAGCAACTAGGAATCATAAATGTTCTTCCTGTTTAAAACATCTGAAATTTATTTTATTTCAATAATTCATTAAAAACTTATTTATACTCCTTGCAAGTATCTGGATAAATGTCTAAACCACTTTGTAAAATAGTGAATGTTTTAAAGTAAATGTTACATTTGATTTTGAAAATTGTCGTTGCATTCAAGTGTTTACTACATTCATAACGTGGCAAAGAAAAAAATTCGCTAAAATCTGCGTCCTACGTCCCGTTAACTTATTGCTTGTAAGTCTAGAAGTTTATATTGTCTATTAAAACGCAGCATTTTAAAATGCTTTTTCTTTCAGGTAATGAGGAGAACAGCTTGTTGAAGGAACAGCTACTTAACTATGAGCCATCGTGTTCCCAAAAGCAAACATGTGTAACCCTGCCTCAAAAGTCCAGTGAATCGTCTTCTAATCTCGACTCACCCCTGCCGCCGGGCTCACAAATCTCATCACAAATGTATGTGGGCGGTAGTGGTGGCATGAATGTATCCACAAATATGGGGCTAATGTCACGATCTCGTTCACCTCTTGATGCTATTGAGAATCAAAGTGATAACACCAGTAATCTGGAAACTGAGCAGAAGATCAGAGTATCTCAGGTCTATAGTCAAAATAATAGCGATACAATTACCCAAGCGATAGGACCTATGATTGTGCCCAAATGTGAGCAGGACGATAGCGATATGATGGAATCGAGAGACTTAAGATACGAACGCGAAGAACATATAATGCAACAGCATCATTTGCAGCAACAACAACAGCACCATCAACAACAACAACACGAGCAGCATCATCAGCAACAATTACATCAACAGCAATTGGTACAACATTTTGCCGGAAATTATGCCAGTCATCATTCTATTTTGGCAAGTCAAAGTAATTCACCTTTGAACAGCCAAGGATCACCACTGGGCCCGGCGGCACCCTCACAGGCCTCAGTACCAGGTGTAGCAAATATTCAACACAACTTAACATCATCTTCGCATCAGTCACAATATTCCCCTGTTATGATGAATCGATTTAGAAGTAAGTTCTAAAGATTTAATTTTTGTTTTTTATTTTAAATTTGAATTTCAATTTGCAGGAAGAGGCGAACGCATGTCCAAGGACCAAAAAGAATTATATGTGAAATTCTTTGAAGAGAATCCCTGTATGCTAACCCAACGACGTAATGATGTCTTATTAGAGCCATTATGGAATAAATTAGCCAATTTATTGAATAGCGTTCCTCAGGGAGCTGTGAAAAATGTTGAGGAATGGAAACAGGTAGAATAAAATGATTGAAAGGAATATATATGTGAATTCTATTTAATGATTTTATTTCTTCTTCTAGACATTTGATGCCTGGAGATATCGCGTTTTCATGTATACCCGTTACAACAGCAAACTAGATGGAGCGGCCGCCCAAAACCCCAAAAATTATAAACCTCTAACACCCACCGATCAACGAGCCTATGCCATGTGGACTAGTCACAAGAGTACAGCACCACAAGATTTCGATAAAATGGAAATGTTTTCTTCTTTAGACGAATCGCAAGCCGATTATGATTATTGACTACGACATGTGAAAATGTCTTCCTCTTGGTGGCGAACATTCTAAAGAAAACTAGAAGTTGCCTTTAGTCAAATGGCATTTCTGAGAGGCCATTCAAAAAAACCCCAGACTAAAAATACTGAACATATTTAAAATTAAATTTTATTATTTCTCTATCTTCACTTACAAATGACATATTTTTTTAAAACAATATATATAATTATTCCATAAGAATAATAAACCACTGTGTTTATGCCAAAGTGCAATAAAAATGATTGAGTCCACTAAATATATTTGAAAAGCATTATTAATTGTAAGCCTATTGAGTTTCGTAGTCTATTTCCGTGGTTAAATAGACAAATGATTTATTTTTTTTTTTAATTTTGTTGTTGCAAATTGTTCTATTTTTATTTAAGGCTAATGAAATAGTCTTGCGAAATTAGCAAAAGAAAAAAAGTTATTGTAACATTTAATGGTAATGTGCTAACAACATATGTTGTGTTTAATTTTCAAAAGTGCAACAACTTTGCTATTTCTTTAGCCATCCTAAAAGTCTTAATTCTTGAAAGATTTGTTGGAAAGTTGGTTTATACATCGGCAGTATGTGTTATTGGATCGAGCGTTTGTAACTATTTTTTATATATATCCCGGTTATTAAATATCGTCATCGATTTTAATAATATCCAAAATGTACCTGCGTTCCCTTAAGAACTAAGAATGTAAGGTCGGATAGAGTAATAACACTCTCGTCCACCTATGCATATTCCTCGAATTTTGTATTAGATGAAAAACTTTTTTTAAAGGTGATATGCGTAGTTTTAAATATACATCATTTTTCCTTTGCTAACTTTGTTCCCATGAAACTAATCAATCCATTTTTGTTCTCTAATCTTCTTTGCAGTCTTTGATCCCTGTAAAGACAACTATCACACACTGATATCAAATTGTTTTTCCTGCCGTTGTGGTTCAACACAAAAACAAGCTTTAGATTTACACGAACCTTCGAAAAACCAACACAACACTGCCAGTGGACCAGAACACAACAGCCATAATCATCATCTACAGCAACAGCATCAGACTACATCGCATCAATTCAGTAGTGCTTCCAATTCACAACATTCACCGGATAACGATGAAGAGCCACCCCTAAAATTGCGCATTTCAAATGTGAACTTACTGCCTTCCAATCACATGGACAGTACTGCCACCGAACACTTTGAAGTAGAGCCCAAAATAGACTATGATGAAGTATCATCGCCACCTGCCGTACACGTACACCAACAACAACAGTCACATCATCACCATCAGCCTCCGCCGCCTCCACCACCACAACCTGCAAGTGATGGTAGCTCCGTGGCTAGCCAACAACAGGCAGCAGCAGCAGCGGCGGCGGCAGCAGCTTTAGCCTTAAGCTCATCAACATCAGCTTTAAAATTGCACAATAATCCCGATACCGATGAGGAGAACACTTATATGGAAAGGGAATTACAGGAACAGGAATTGCATTTAGAACGCATGCATGAATATTTTCTACAGCAACAACAGCATTTACAGCAGCAGCAGCAACAACAACAGCATCAGCAGCAACAACAACAACACCAGCCACACATAGAATCCTTATTGCATGAAACCACCACATCGAACAGTTTGAGACGTAAGTTTTGTTAAAGTGATTTCGAAACATTAATCTTACGCTTTTCCTCCCTTTTTTCATTCCTGCAGAGCGTAAGGAACGCATGTCGAAAAAACAGAAAGAAGTCTATGTCAATTTCTTGGAACAGCATGCCATCATTAACGAGCATAGACGCAATGATCCTGTATTGAATCGTTATTGGATTAAATTGGCCGACATTCTAAACTCAGTACCTCAAGGAGCAGTGAAACATGTTGCCGAATGGAAACAGGTTGGTTAGATGAATTTTAAATTTTGGAAATATTTCATCTTTTCATTTTCAAAGTAAAGAATTGGTGGGATAGAATGGTGCGAATATTCCCACAGCAATGGGATAAAATTTAACAAAGGAAACTACAATATATTATACAAAGGACATTCGGCCCTATTGCGGGCTTTGACTTTTGGAATAAAATGACTTTTCGATTACTTACAGTTCGAGAAAAATGGATATGCTATATCCATTATAAAAAATATAAACCACGATATGTTTTGACAAGAATCTGCCTCCCTTAGCATTTGTTTATAACATGCAAAAGGGAAGAAGATATACCTATAGTTGCGTCTGTCCATGTATTTTTGCAAGCAGGTTACAGGTCGCATTTATTTTCCGACTGAGACAAACCTGTGCAATTCATTTGTTTGGCCTTCGGATGTAACCACATGTCAAGCTGATGAATTTTGGGCAAAAAAAATGTTGGATGTCATAGCGCTCACTATTTACAGCTGCATTACATCACAGCCTCTTTAAAGAAGTATGGTTAAATGATATCACCTGCTCATAAATCGCACAAAATGTGACTTTTTCATGATGCATTGGTAGCTTTGGCAATGCTTCGTCGTTGAACACAACTTTTATACCATCCACCATAAATAGTATGGAGGGTACATTAAGTTCGTCATTCCGTTCGTAGCTCATCGAAATAATAATTTTAGACATAACAAAGTATAAATATTCTTGATCAGCGTAAAATTTAACTATTTAGCCCTGTCCGTCCGCCCGCCCGTCTGTTGTAATCAAAAAAAAAAAAAAAAAAAACAAAGAGAGGAAGCTAGAATTTTCTACAGGTCAGTTTTTTGTCTGCAGGCAGGTCAAGTTCGAAGATATATATATCGGTCCACCATATCGTATAGCCCCCATACAACGGTGGCCCCCCGGTATTCGGTATTTTGATGATTTTAGTCACATTTTCCAATGGATTTATCTAAAAATCAGCACAAGGAGTTCTTTCTGAGTACTTTACCCCCTGGAAGAGAATAATTTATATAGGTCCACGATATCATATGGCCCCCATACAACGGTACCCCCTGATATTCGGTATTTTGATGAATTTATTGTTGAAATTGTCCGAAATTCTACACAGTTCTTCGTGACTACTTTACCGTCGGAAAGAAAATTTTCTATATAGGTCTACGATATCGTACAGCCCCTCCATACAACGGTACCCCCTATATTAGCTATTTTTAAGATTTTAGCCACATTTTTCAATGGAATTGTGCGAAAATTGACACAAGGAGTTCCTTTTGAGTACATAACCCCCTGGAAGAGAATTGTATATATAGATCTACGATATCGTAAAGCCCACATACAAATTTTTCAATGAAATTGTCTGAAAATCTACAAAAAGGGTTTCTTCTGAGTACTTTATCCACTGGAAGATTGTCGTCCACGTTTTCGTTTATCCCCCATATAACGGCACCTCTCTATATATTCGATATTTTGATGATTTTAGATACATTATTCAATGGAATTGTCTAAGAACCTGTACTAGAAGTTCCTTCCAAGCACTTTACTCCCTTGAAGAGAAATGTCTGTAAAGATCCACGATATCGTATAGTCCACATACAACGGTACCTACCAATATTCGGCATTTTTATGATTTTAGCGACATTATTAACCGTTTTTGTTTTACATTTCGTATTTGGAGTTCGTAATGGAAACTACAGTCTATGACAGAAAATTGTCTATGCCGATCCAGGTCTTCAGGTATGGGCTCCATCTATCAGTACCTCCCCATATTCGGTATTTTGACGATTTTAGCTACATTATTTACCAATTTTTTCATGTTTCGTATTTGAATATTGTAATGGCTTATGACAAAAGTTGCCTATACAGGTCCACATCTTCGTATATATCCCAATATAACGGCTATAATCGGTATTTTTAAAATTTTAACAGAATTTTTAGCGGTTGTTATTTTTTTTGAAAATTTCCAAGTTCCTTCCAAATGGCGGATGTTATTTTTTGAAAATTTTCAATTTCGTTTTAAATGGGAGGGTATTCAAATTTCGGCCCAGCCGAACTTACTACTTTTTTACTTGTTCTATAAAAAAAATTGATTTTCGTTTCAAGAACCCAATCACCAAAAAATCTACTTTGCGGTAGCTATAAGATTTGCTGCGGAAGCTCTTATAAATATGGATATTGGCTATCATATAGTCAGCCCTGTCCGATTTGTGTTCTTTCCTTATTGGTTCATAGTAAAAACTTTCTACAAAATGTACAAAATTGTACAGATGTGGAGAGATTACAGCAAAACTTTCATTGTATTTCTGAAAAAAATTGTGTAATTGAAAATTTTTTAATGTTTAAATTACTCTCTGCTTTTCTATTTACAGACATTTGACAATTGGCGCTACCGTGTATTCCTCTATGCGCGCTACAATTCAAAAATATCCGGCGAAGAGGCTCTTAATCCAAAATGTTTTAAACCTCTGACGCTGACAGATAAACGAGCCTACAATATATGGATACGAAATCCAGATACAGCACCACCAGATTTGGAACATATGCGTAATGTATTTATGAATCTGGAAGAGGCACAACCGGAATAACAAACGGCTGATACCAAAAGAAAATAACTACAACAACACTGCTAATGAACATAATTCTGCAACCATCGTTCAAAGTCTATTAATTTTTAAAAATTTGTGCTATAAGAAACAAGAAACCGCCATGCCATCATTTTGTGTGCTAATAATAATCACGTTTAAGCAAAACTATTACTCACTACAAATTTCTAAACGTATTACAAACAAACAAAAAAAAAACGGAAAATGTTACACAAAACCAATTTTCGCCACTACCACACAACTATTACTAGCGTTACAAACGAAATACGTGTACTATTACCACAATTGTTGTCTGTTTTAGCGAAGTAATTTATTAATTTTAATTACATATTTTTTATGTTGTTTATGTTTTTTTACAAAGAGAAATAAATGAAATATTTATACCTAAATTCTATATTTACATGTGTGTATAATGCTCAATAGTTTTAAGGGTATTTTTTGTTTTGTTTTTGTATATTCTTTTTTATTCTAAACGTTATGTAAAGTTTCTAATAGTTATATATGTTTATATGAATTTATGTTTTGTAAATAAACTGAATATAAATGAAGATTACTTTTATTTGATATTTAATAAATTATAAAGCCGAAAAAGTTATTTTCTCATTATTTATATGCATTTAACTTACGGTGGCGCTGACATTTATGTGCGCCTAAAAACAGGCAATGAATTTTGAAGAGATATGTTGAAGTGGTTGGTAACACTGGCAAAGACATGTAAATAGCGCCATCTATTGAAACACATGATCCAAATGAGCGAATTATTTTTGAAAGCCGCTTCATTTCATTCATTTCAATAAGGGTCTAAATAAAAAGAAACATAAAAGTAGTTTTCACAAAAAATGCCTATAATTTCACGTTTTTCATTCTGAGGATAGGAATGCTACTCCTTGTAGACATTAATAGGCTTTTGTGGCCAAAAAATGGGTAAATAAAAATTTACGAAGCCTTCATATCAATAAGGGTCTAAATTAAAAGAAACATAAAAGTAATTTTCACCAAAAATGCCTATAATTTCACGTTTTTCATTCTGAGAGGATAAGAATGCTACTCCTTGTAGACATTAAAAGGCTTTTGTGGCCAAAAAATGCGTAAATAAAAATTTACGAATTTTTTGGTCACAAAAGCCTATTAAAATCTACAAGGAGTAGCATTCTTATCCTCTCAGAATGAAAAACGTGAAATTATAGGCATTTTTGGTGAAAATTACTTTTATGTTTCTTTTAATTTAGACCCTTATTGAAATGAATGAAATTAGCCGGCTTTCAAAAATAATTCGCTCATTTGGATCATGTGTTTCAATAGATGGCGCTATTTACATGTCTTTGCCAGTGTTACCAACCACTTCAACATATCTCTTCAAAATTCATTGCCTGTTTTTAGGTGCAAATAAATTCGTTATTAGGAAGTCCCATTGAATGTGAGGACGACCATATTTCGGTATAGCCACCATAAAAGGTTACCGATTTGCAGTTTCAAGTTGTAGCACTGAACCTCGGTACTGTTATTTTCAACAGTTTTTTGTTTATGATATTGCAGGGTATTAAACCTAACTCAGCGCTTTTTATATATCATTTGATACGGCCAAAACGTGCCTCATCGATATAACGATTTTAGACCCCAGGTCTCTTTGTATTTGGAGTCGATCTAGCGATGTCCGTCCGTCTGTCTGGGTGTTGGTGCGCACGATAACTCTCGAAGGGAGAATTCGATTTGATCCAAACTTGGTGCATTGTTATATTATTGTCAAACTTAGATTGAGTTGGGAGATGGACAATATCGGGCCACTCCTTCTGGTACCTCCCACAAAAAAGGTCGAAATTTTTAAAGAAAAATTGGTACAGTACTGAAAGAAAAAGGATAATCCAATTTTGCTCCAACTTTGCAATATAATTATTACATCAAGCGAGTGACGGTTTCATTGGCCGTTCGTGCCAAAGGTGACTAATTCGAACAAATCTAAACTTATTCTACAATTTTATGCAATTTCCGACATTTTTTGCTTTCATTCAATAAAATTAAAAAAAATGTAAAAATTATGGCGTTTGACTTTGTTGCAGTTTTTTTTATCTCACCCTGTTTATTCTTGATCAGTGTAAGTCAGTCTATGTCGATTTAGCGATATCCATCTGTCTATCGGTATGTATGTCGGTCCACGTCTTCGTATAGCCCCCATATGACAATACCTCCTGATATTCGGTACTTTGATGATTTTAGCGACATTAACCACCGAAATTGTTTCAAATTTCGTATTTAAAGTTCGTAATGGGTACTACATTCTATAAAAAACAGTACCTCCCTTTATTCTTTTTCGGCGGAATTTTCAAGTTCCTTCCAAATGGTGGATGGTATTAAAAGCTCGGTTTGGCCGAACTTAGCTACTTTTTACTTGTTTTTTATATAAATATTTCCCTTTCACATTCTCATAAAATAAGATTTGGACCTCAGTTCACTTCAAATAAATATCATATATTTTACCCACAAATAAAATATATTGTTTCAACAAAAAATATTTACCTTTTCCTGTACCAAGCTTTGGAAATTATAAAACGCTTTTCCCTTCATATATTTTATGTATATATTTTTTTCTTTATTTTCATTCACAACATTTTTCAATTTATTTATTACACAATTGATGTTATATCATTTACGGTTTATTTCCATTATAATAATTTGTTATATTTACTATACTCGTTTTGTTTCGTTTAACATTTAAATGTGATGACATTTGTTTTAGAGTTTTAATAATAATTTGTTACTATTGCAATATTCAAATGATCTGTTGCTGTTGTCTTTCTTTTTCTTTTTCCTTTATATTATTTAGTTTGCTTCATTCATTCCATTTAGTTTTAAGGTTTGTTACGTTTGCCGTTTGGTGTAATTAATTACTTGCTTATTTCCATTTTCTTTACAATAAATATTTATGTATTTATTAATTATTATATGTTTTGTTTTGTCATTACTTCCTGGTGATTTTTAATTGCATATGTTTAATTTGTTTGTTATGTTTTGTTCTATGTCATTTGCTTGTCAATATTAAAAACACAATATTCATTCCGTATAAAAATGAATAACTAAAAAACTTAATACTTTTATGTTCTGCTTGTTATACTTTGTATTTTATTTATTGTTTCAGTTTTTGTTTTGTTTTGTTTGCTTATCAACAACTTATATAGAATAAATGAAAAATAAAAACTTATAAAATGTCCCTTAATGTTTGCTAATTAATTTAATAATTTCGTTTCTTTTATTTATAATTTCCGCTTGCAGAGTTTACCGTTTTTAATACAAAATATACAAATATGACTTCTTATAATTCGTACTCAATTATTTATAGTAATAATAATAATTTTATTTTCGCTTTTATTGTTAACATTTTGTTTAAGAGCATATGGTCATTATGTCTAACTAAAAATAAAATTATTTTGTTATTTTGTTTGTTTTAACAATTTATTATTGTAACAAGTCATTTCCCATTTAGGTAGACTAACACAGTGCTGCAGCAATTATAGAAGATATAAGTCATGGTGTACTTCTAAGGTAACATAATTTAGATATTTCGGCCGAAAATGTGTTTGTCTCGATGTGGATTATATCAGTCAATAGGAAAAAAATTAACAGCTTTAATTAAATTGGTGTTTTGGAACTTTGTATAGAATGTACATAGAAACTTTTAATTTTATTTTACATTTTAATTATTTTAATCGTGGTCAACTCAAAAAAAGCAGAGGAAAAACTGATTAAAAATTTGGGAAAAATTTCGGATTTTTCTTTGTGGGAACATTGAGCAGCTATATTTCTGATAAGGAATGGAAATATATATTTCTTTTCTTCGGTGACTTATAGTAAAATTGGGTAAATAATATTTTTGTCTTTCCCATCACCCCTCTAAAATAATACTTTGTTGGAGATTTTTGCATAAACTTAGATAAAGATTTAACCCTTTAATGTGAATTTAATTTTTAGACTCTTGACGTGTTCTGGAGGACCTACGGTAAATTTTTATAATAAATAATTTTGATTTTTTTGTTATTTTCTAGTTTGCTTCTCAAAAGGCATATTAATTACACAAAAAAAAAAAAAAACAATAAAGAAAGTCTTGAATTTGGACGGGTCCAAAGGAACTACTATATGAGGGGAATATCCTCTATGGGGGCTATATCCAAATCTGAACCAATCTCGATAAAATTTGGGAATTATATTCTTGTGCTGTTTGATATATTTCCCCAAAAACCGATCTCGATTAAATTTAGCAAATGTATTTCTAAATTATATTAGATATTTTTCCCCAAATCTCGTTTTTACAGAGTGCATATTAGGGCTGCGGAGGACAAAAATAACAAGTCGCTATAGCTATATCAGAACCGATTTAGATCAAATTTGGCATACTTCTTTTTTTCCGGCCGAATCTGGTCGTGTGTGTAAAATTTCATACTATTTGGGCTGATATTACACGTTTGGTGCACAATAAAAAGCAAATCGGACGAAGAGATATGTGGGAGCTATATCTAAATTTTGGCAGATTATCTTCAATTTCAATAGGGTTCGTCCTTGGGTCAAATAAATGACTTGTGCAAAATTTCAACTGGCTCGGACAATGCGACCTGTACTTTGTTTACAAGAATACATGGATAGACAGACGGACGCACATGCATAAATCGACTCAAAATGTGATTCCATGCTGGTGATCAAAATGAACTATGGAGGAAGTATCTCGTGGTGTAGGGTATAAAATATAATTTTAAATAATTACTTTTTCGTCACGTCTAGGAGAAAAGTTAAATCCTTCAAGTTTTAGAATCAGTTGTAACATACAACCGACAGAAATTGAATATTATATAATTATATATGTCATAGATGGATATTATATAATCATAATGTAATAGAATTAAAAAACTTATTCCATAACCTCACAATCTAATTGGGTATAAAACATAGAATCAAATCATCATCGGGTTACACTTTAGAAGTACAGATTTTTATCTTGCAGCACAAGGTGTTAGTTACATGTTTCCTTTTACATTTAAAATGTGTGTTATTAATTTTCCATGTTGCATGATTTTTTGGAAAATATTTAACAATTTTTTTTTATTTTATAATCTATTAACGTCTTTAGTATTATAATAATAAAAAAACAAAACCATAATGTTAATATAATTTTAAAAAACTTTTGGATTTTTAAAGCATTCTAATTTGTTAAAATCTCAATTGGATAAAAATTGTGGGTAAATATTGCTAAAATTTTAAATTTGGTGTTTTTGTTTTACATAATTTCATAGGGTACTTTTTTGAAAACTTATTGGGCCTGGGACTGAATTCTTGTTCTATGAAAATATGAAATGAAAAATATTTCCTTTATAAAATTTTTCATTTGACATTTCTTTCCTTTATAAAAGTTTTCATTTCACATTTTCATAGAACTAGAATTGAGACCCTGGTTTGTGTATGACAAAGGCGAACGAAAAACACAATTCCAAATATGTTTCTAAAATTTTGGCTATTAAAAACTTATTTGGAATGTTGGTTTTTTCGTTCGCATTCACTTTCGTATCGTCATACAGAAATAGGTGCATTATTTATAAATCTTAACTTTAATAAAAAAAACTGGAGGTGCTGGATTTATTTAATACATAATTTTATTCTAATATTTGACATGATACTAATTTTATCTGGGGTTGTTTTTTTTTTTTTTTCAAGGTTTGCAGTGGACAATTAAAAGAGGCAATATTTGAGAAAGGTATAAGCCTAATATGATAAACTACGGACAAATTTTTACTGGGCTCTAAAAATTGCAAGGAATACCATTTTTTAAAAATTATGTACTTTTAGGGAGTGGAAGGATTCTTTAAATTGTTAATGTATTGTTTTTAAATGAACCCCTTTCATCATGTTTCGCAATTAACTTCTTGAAAAAAAAAAAAAAAACAAAAAAGGCTAATTGAGAAATTTGTATTGGATTCAAAACAGTGAAAGGAGATTTTCAAGAAATGTTCTACATATACTACTGCGTTTACGAATTTTGATAAAAAAGTAAACATTTGTAAATACGTTTTAGGAAAAAATCACATCATTGTGATGCACAATTTTACTGGGCTCACAATTCTAGGCACTCACTGAAATAGTCAATTGTTCAAGGGCACTAAGTCCAATTATAAGGACGAAAGGAATATCTAGATTTGGCAATTTATGACCAAGCGTGGGGATAGGAAAATATATTTTCTAGTTTTCAATTTTAGTAGCTCTCGAAAATCGGCTACGTTTCTATGGACAACAAAACCTTTCTAAGAGCCCACATAGACAGAAGATGTACTAAATGCCTCATCCCAGAGACATACATGACAAGAAAGGTCTTTAGATTGTTTTCTGTCTATAAAATGTCTTTAGATGATGCCTTTTCGAATTTTGATAAAATATTAAAAATTTCTAAATACATTTTAGGAGAAATTCACATCGTTGTGATGCACAATTTTACTGGGTCATAATTCTAGGCATACACAGAAATAGTCAGTCTTTCAAGGGCACTAACTTCAAATATAAGGACGAAATGAAGATGTTGATTTGTCAATTTAGGTACATCATCAATTTCTATCGTAACTAAAGCCCAAAACAATGGGAAAATTGAAAAAAAAAATTGTTAAAGCAACTCTAGTAAAATACTGAGTGCTCCAAAGCAAGTAGACAATGTGTGGGGATGATAAACTATATTCTTTAGTTAAATTAAATAATTAGATTAAAACAATTAAATTTTAGTGGCTTTCGAATATTGCCTGCCTTTCTATGGACAAAAGTCCACTATACTTAGGTCTTTCATATACAGAAGATTAACTAAATGTCTCTTCCTAGAGTCATACAAAAAGTCCTGTAAAGTCTGTCTTTTTGTGGACTGTTCACAGTAAACATAATGCTACTGTATATAGAATATCTTTGAAAGATCTCCTATAGGAAGCGTTTTGAAGCCTTACTATGGACAGAAAATCATTAGAAGTTCTCTTAAAGACGGAAGAAAAGTGTAGGGATGAGAAACCATATTCTTTAGTTTTAAATTTTAGTGGCTTTCGAAGGCCGATTATATTTAGGTCTTCCATAGACAGAATATTTACTAAATGTCTCATTCTAGAGCCTTATAAAATGTCTTGTAAAGGCCTTTAAACTAAAGAAAATCATCTAAAAACCATTTATAGACAAAAAACAATCTAAAGGTCTGTCACTGTAAGAATTCCTTTACATAGCCTTCTACAAGGAGAAGGTTAATATAAACAAAAGTCTACAAAATGAAGAGATTTTAAAGGTTTTTTAAGCAATGGTGTTTTTTAAAAACTTCTTTAAACAGAACACCTTTTAAATATATGCTATAGACCGAACAGCCTCTAGAAGGAATGTCTATAAACTTTCCAAGGAACTTCTGATTACGGAAGTCTTTTAAAAAGTTTCACTTCTATAAAAAGTTTTAAATGGTCTGTGGTCTTTTTATGGGCTGTTCACTGTAGACATTAATTTAATGTATATAAAATATCTTTGAAAGATCTCCTAGAGGAAGCATTTTGAGGCCTTTCTATGGACAGAAAACCATTAAAAGTTCTCTTAAAGACGGACGAATTTTTGTGGGTTTTCTATAAACAGAAAAACTTTCAAATGCGTTTTTCTTAGACAGAGGACCTTGTTCTACAGAAATAAGTCCTTTCAAATACATCCATATCTAAACTGCTGATTTTAAAAATGTAAACCTTCATCAATATTACATATTATTTTTAATAATTTTTAACTTTAGTAAAAATTTGGGTAATATTTCTAAATTGGAGAAAAAATATTTACTGAGGAGGAAAAAATATTTATTAACATTGGTTTTGTTGTTGATTTGTTGTTGCTTTCATCAATATATATCGTAATTAAAGCTCAAAACGAAGGAAACATTGTTTAAAATAAGAATTGTTTAAATGAAAAAAAATAATTCTCATAAAGTTTCCGTTGTAAAATTTAAGAATTGAAGCCAAAAAATTTCATATGAACCGTCGCTGAAAATTTCAACATAATTTTAATTGGACTCTAAAAAGAGTCTTTTGTACAAATCCTTGTTTAAAGTATAACATTTTTAAGTGTTTTGAACAAGATCAACAATAATAAGGTAATTTGTAAATATGGGAATTTTTGTAACAACAATGTCTAACAGTTGACTTTAAATAATGACATTTCCGTGAACCTCATTTTTACTATTTCAATTGTGCTTTATTTTGACTTGAACAGCCTCGATGATTTTTATCCTCAATATTTTAAATTTCAGCTCAATTTTCTCAAAATACAACTAGCAATCCTATCGGCCTGTTTATCTCTAATAACATTACTTTCACTGATTTTAAACCTTTAAAACAAAAAAGTATTAAAATACAAACATATCTTTTTAAATTTCGTATAAAAATTTAAAACAAAAAAGTAAGGTGTTCCATTATTAAATATATATTACATGCAAACGGAATTAAAATAAAAAGATAACTAATGACAAACTTAAAAAAAAAGATTAATTAAATTAATAAAATATAGAATAGCTATACAAATACATATGACAAATTCCTGATGCTATACTTATTGTTGTTGCAGTTGTACAAAAAAGCACTATTTATCTATTATCTACATAGATTTATAAATGTGTGTGTGTATGCGTGTATATAGGATTTACTTTACTTATTACATTTGTTTAATTCTGTCATTTACCAAAAATACAGCGGTGGTCACATTTGCCTCATCATCACAAAGAAGGAAAGGAAATAATTAAGGAATTGTTTGCGTTTTACTCCCCTGATATACCTTCCTTAGGATTATACCCCCCTACTTTAATATTGGACCTACACTTTGTTCTACACCTTAAAACCCATATTGCTGGCTGATGCCGCCGGTGGTGAGGGTGAATTTTGTTGGGTCTTCACCAGACACGATTGAGAGGTATTGGCCAAACTGGCATCATCCAAACTATCCAAATCCAAAGCAGTATCAATCATGGTCGTATCATGTAACATGCGCAGGCGACTCGAACTCAGCTCATTGGCAGACATTTTCTGCAATTTAACATTATCTGTGGCCGATGAAGAGGCAATCAAGGATTTGGGTGTACTTGTGGCTGTTGTTGAGCTGAGAACATCTGGTACATTGGTGCTAAAGTTAAAATTACGTTTTTCACCCATACTTTTTGGCGGATGTTGGATCATTATCGAAACGGGATCATCCAAGTCCAGATCATCACACATTAGGGTAGAGGATAAATCCAAGGGATTGTGGGCGCCATGTGATGTTGGGGTAGGCGGCATAGCAGATGGTGTATTGATTTTGTTGTTATTGTGTTGATGTTGGTGTTCATCAATTAGATTGGAATATACATGGATATTGTTATCCTGCGGCGTTTCTCCTTTGCCATTGGCCACCGCCACTGGTGGTATATTGCTGTACATGTTTTCCGACTGGGAAATCGATTTGGGCAATGTACCATTACCGCTATGCGTTGTGGCAACACCCATAATTGCAGCAGCCAATAGATTGGCACCACTGCCTGCCGATGTTAAATTTGGCATTTCACTGAGCGGTGAATTGGCGGGAGTGGCTTCATTCGATAGGGGGCTCTCGAAATCACCATTAAATAAATTATTATAACTATCTGAGAGATTGTGACGTTCTCTTGCCTTATTGGTGGCAGCTATGGCTGAGACCGCCGCCACAACCTCTGTTGTGCCCACCACCACAACATCATCGTCATCCAAATTCTCGTTGCTGCCTGGCATCAAACCGTTGGCATTACCCAATTCCAGATCATCCAATTCATCACCAGATGAATCCAAATGATTTCGTTGTTGTTTGTGATGACGAAACCGTCTCGACTGCTGCAAATGTGTTTGTGAATGATGATGGGGTGCCGCCGGAACGTCCATTTGTGATAATGGTATTTCATTATCAACCAAATGAGCTAAACTATTGGAATTACCTGTAATGAGAGAATTTAGAGTTTTGTTAATAAATTTTGGTTTTTTAAGGAGTAAAAACAAAGAACTTGAAAACAAATTTAGCAAAAATACATCTAGCAATAATTATATATTTATATGTGTACAGAGTGTTCCAAAGAAAGTGGATGAATAGCAAGGATGAGAGACTTTGGTTTTTTGTTTTAAATTTCAGTGGCTTTCCTAAATCTGCCACCTTCCTATGGACAAAAAAATCTTTTTGGGGCCCAGTGGAACCGTTTAAGGCCCTATGGGCTAGGTAACTATTTTAATTGAAAATAAAATTAATAAAAAATGTCTTCTCTTTCAGGGGAGACAACATTTCTTCTACAGGATGAGATGAAAAAACTGCAGCCAACTTCAGACTGTTGTCATTTCTAAGTCACTCGTCCGACAGCTGTTAAAATTATTCCAGTGACAGTTCATTATATTGTTTACAAGCGTACAAAAGCATTTTGGTGAGAATTTTCCGGAGAAAAAGTTATTCGTGATGAAATTCAAGTGTGATAGTGTGTGTGACTAGTTAGAGCACTCCAGAATTTAAATGTGAATAAATCTTTTGTGTCTCGTACCATCACTCATTACCGTGATATTGGTAGCGTAGCTCGACGTCAAGGAGGTGGACGGAAGAAAACAGCAACATCAGCAAAAATGGTTCGAAAAGTAAAGCGACTTGATCGAAACCCGCGTCGCAGTGGCCGAAAAATGGCTCGTGAGCTGAACAAATCGCAATATTCCATTCGGCAAATATAAAAAAATGAGCTGGGGGTAAAGCCATTAAAATTCCAAAAAGTGCAAGAACTTACACCGCAACAGAAAGAAAATAGACTCAAAAGAGCTAAAGATTTGCTTCGCTTGGCCAAACGTGGTGAACTGCCGAATTTGGTTTTCTCCGTATCCGATGAGAAAACATTCGTTGTCTAGCAGTTTGTAAACAAACAAAAAGATCGTGTTTACTTGCCAAAGAGGTCAGCTGAAAATGTGCACCTTCGGTTGGCCACCAGAACTCAAGCGCCGGCCATGGTGATGGTGTGGGCCGCCATAACAGCCAATGGTCGCTTTCCGTTCGTATTAATCGACCGTGGCATCAGAATAAATGCCGAATATCAAAGCCTTGGCATGCAAACATTTTGGCCGCAGACCTTGGACATTCCAACAGGACTCACGCGCCACCCAAGAATGGTTACAAAATGAGGTTCCTCGCTTAATTTTCAGCGCACAATGGCCTCCAAAATCTCCGGATACCCATCCGTTGGACAATTGTGTTTGGAGTATTTTGGAAAGCAAGGTTGACACAAAAAAAAAATGTCAATAGTAAGCGCTTCGCCAGAAATGGGCCAAAATACCGCAGAACAACATTTGGGCAGCGTGTGACGGTTTCATTTGTCGTTTTGAAGGCCATATTCGAATAAATCTAAACTTATTCTAAAATTTGATGATATTTCCGATATTTCTGTGCTTTCATTCAATAAAATTAAAAAAAAAAATGTAAAAATTATGGCCTTTTTTTATCTCACCTTGTAGGACCTTTTAAATACTTCCTTTAGAATGAAAAATATATTTAGAAAATCTTTAAAGCATCTCCTTTTGAAATCGCTCTATGAACAGAAATGCCATTAGAAGGTCTCGTATACTCTGAGGAATTTTTTAGGCGAGCTTTTAAAACTTTTCTATCGACAGAAGGGTATTAAAAAGCCTCTTGTGGTCGAAACCCCTTTCAAATGTTTTCCCTAGAAAGAAAACATTTTCTTTAAAGATAAGTCCTTTCAAATACTTCTTCTAGTAGCCTCTTATAGTCGAAACACCTTCAAATGAGTTCCCCAGAAGAAAACCATTTTCTACAGAGACAAGTTCTTTAAAATACTTCCTCTAGAATGAAAAAATTAAGGGTTTCTTCAAGAGAGAAGTCCTTTTAAAGGTTCTGTGGGGAGTATCTTTCAAAGGACTTCTATAAATATAATATATTTTAAAAGAAGACCATTTATGGTTCTCTATACATAGAATGACCCTATAAAGACCATCTATGGGGAGATTTTAATAACAAATTCTATAGAAAATGGATCTTTCAAACTGGGGACCACTTAAAGGTCCTCTAAAAACAGAACATCTTTTAAGGCCTTTTATATATATAAAAGCTCATTTTGAAGGTCCATCATAAGGAGATGACTTGGGAAAGGATAAGAGAGCTTTTAGCATTTTTTACAATATTTGTTAGTCTTCGTTCTTAAAACCCACTTTTGGATCACTCTGTATATTAAATACTATAATAAATATTTATCTATATATAAAATATTATTGTATATAAAAGTTAATTACAGAATAGCATTCCAATTTGATTGGTTGTTGTGTTTAACAAACAAAAGAAAAAAATATTCAAATGATAAAACATCTATGAAATTATTATTACAATGGTTTTTCGACAAAAGCTTTAAGTATTTTACAACAATTAAATGATTAATTTTTTATACATTATAAACTTAGGCAACTTAGTGGAAAAAAATTAACTACATTTTTTAACCTATATATAACATTGGTTCGGGGTAAAAATAAGATTTAACTAATTTACAAAAACAAAAAAAATTATTTACAAAAAATTATAAAAACAAATTTTTCTTTTACAAAAAATAATAAAAAAACAAATGGAAATTACAATCTCTACTTGCAAAATTTTTGTCATATTTTTTACACATCCTTATCATTCAAAAACTTTGTGAACGTTCATCGTTTCCCAGTAGTAGGGGTACAACTAAATCGGGGGCTTCAATTCAAAAATGAAAAAAACATGGTTGGAAAAAAGAAAAAGGTAATACACAAATTAAGAGTTTCAGACATAAGTATATATTAGTGTTCATCAATAGTTGACAGAATTGTTTGATTGATAGGTCTAGGTTTAGACAACAGAATATTATATAATATCATATGAACGATTGTGAATGGGAATGAAGTTGAAGTGAATGTTTTGCATAGTAGAAAAAAAAAAGGAGGAGGGGGAGGAGTTTCATTTGCTTCAAATTATAGTGAGATTGGTATACAAATAAGAAAAAAAAAAACAATAATCGATATTGAGATTGTCAGATTTGTAAAAATTCATTTGAAAAGCACTGTCATAAAGCTACCCACGAATCTTCCAATATTTTCTATTTTCAAAAAAAAAAATGGATAGTTTTTTCGAGCCATGTTCAATATAGTGACAACATAATTCGAAATGGAAAGCATGAATGGATTCGATCCATATCTATTTCTGAGTTTTTTTTTATCGAATATCTGAGATATCAAGCCATTCGTTGCGAAGACAATTGCTTAAGATTTTTTGTTGAATGGTTCACGTGCACAAAATTTGGCCTTCTGATTCCTTCAAAGGGAATACATATGACTAATATTGGTATCATATGTTAACGTAGCAGCGACTGAGTTAAAGATTTTTTTTCTGGACCTGATTACTTCATTTTTAAAATTTGGGGCTCTGTATACCTTCACGTTAAAAAATTAAAATTAAAGGTTCCATTTTCGAATATTTTTTTAGATTTCGTTACTGGTTTTAAACATATATTTTATTTTTGGACCCTCCTCCATAGTATAAACAGACATCGGACGGACGGACATTGCTAAATCGACATAGATTTTTATGCTGATCAAGAATATATATACTTTGTGAGGTCTAAAATGTATATTTCGAGGTGTTACAAATGGAATGACAAACCATAGTATGGAGGGTATATTAAGTTTGTCATTCCGTCTGTAACACCTCGAAATATATATTGTAGACCCCACAAAGTATATATATATATATATATATATATATATATATATATATATATATATATATATATATATATATATATATATATATATATATATTCTTGATCGGCATAAAAATCTATGTCGATTTAGCGATGTCCGTCTGGCTATCCGTCTGTGGAAATCACTCTAGCTTCTGAACGAAATAAAGTAGATTGATATAATTTTACTCCAATGTATATTATGTCTGCAGGACTTTTGGTATTGAGAATTGGCCATTTAGGTCTATGTTTTGGTATAGGCCCCATATAACGGTACATCCCGATATTCGATATTTTGATGCATTTAGCGACATTATTCACCGGAATTGTTTCAAATTTGGTATTTGAAGTTCGAAATGGACCTGGACAATGGATACTACAGCCTAAGACAGAAAATTGCCTTCGTATAGCCCCCATATAACGGTACCTCCCGATATTCGGTATTTTGATGATTTTAGATACATTATTCACCGGAATTGTTTCAAATTTGGTATTTGAAGTTCTTAATGGATGCTATAGCATATGACAGAAAATTGTCTGTGCAGGCCCCCGTCTTCGTATTGTCCCCATATAACGGTACCTCCCGATATTCGGTACTTTGTTGATTTTAGCGACATTATTTGCCAAAAATGTTTAAAATTTGGTATCTGAAGTTTGTAATGGATGCTACATCCTATGACAGAAAAATTTCTGTGCAGGTCTACGTCTTCGTATAGCCCCCATGTACCGGTACCTCCCGATATTCGGTAATTTGAAGATTTTAGCGACATTATTCACCGGAATTGTTTCAAATATGGTATTTGAAGTTCGAAATGGATACTACAGCCTGAGACAGAAAATTGTCTGTGCAGGCCCACGTCCCCATATTACGGCTTTCATTTAAGTGGTAGTTTTAGGATTTTTTTTTTTGAAAATTTTCAATTTTTTTCGAAATGCTGGAGGGTATTAAAAGTTCGGCAAGGCCGAACTTAGCTGCTTTTTTATTTGTTAACATTTGGGGCTCTGTTTACCTTCACGTTAAAAAATTAATATTTAAGGCTTCATTTTCAAATATTTTTTTTTTAGATTTCTTTACTGGTTTCCCAACATTTTTTTAATTATATATTTTTCTCTTCAATGTTCATATTTTTCTCAATATCGATTTTTGTCTTTTTCTGTATTTCTTATAACATTAATTAACAGTACAGTAATAAAAATTTATTTTT